ACAATTGTCATAACAACCTGGTAATATTACAGTGGCCACTTTGAAGAGTGATCTGAAGAGTATTTGCCAAACCTTTTGATCCCTAGTAATCAGAACAGAAGTGCCCAAAATCCAGAGATTAAAGGATTAGGCCTCAAGAAAGACTTGTGGTATTTCAAGAAAATGTGACTGATGCTCACCACTTATTTTTTACAGTGCTGATGAGATTTAGTGTTTAAGGTCCTTTCCTGTTCAGGCATAAAAGCTGTTGTAATCAGAGTATTACTAGGGAAAACTACTCTGGTTGGGGATTCAATATGTTTAAATTGTTGAGCCAAGGTTATTGTTTGGATTAGGTTAGGAAGGATGACACTGAAATAAGTAAGCCCCAATAGTGCAGCAAAGCAGAGAAGAACAAAGAAAAATGTTTGTATTTTTAAATAGCAATCTGGATAGCCCAAGTATGCTGGGTATAGCTATATAAAAAAACCCCAAACTTAGACTAGCCTAGAAACTAGGTATTGTATATGTCTACACAGCTACTAGGAACAGAATAAACATTTCCATTGCACTGAAATCCATATGAAAGCAAAACTGGAGACACTGGAGATCGAAGAGACTTATTAGGTCAGCTTGCCCATCCCTCAGCCTCGTTGTCCCTCAAAATCTGCATGCTTGGTTCCCACACACCTCCCCAATTTCTGCCACACGAAACTTGACATGAGCAACTAACATCCATCAGGGTCATTCTGCTAGAAAACAAAAGATATCAGGCTATACTGATGATAAACCAGCTTAGGATATTTGTCAGTAAAGTCTAAAGATCTTTTGCAGACTTCATATATCCAAACAGCTAGCAGTTTTTTCATAAGAAATACATGGCTATTAATAATACTTGGTCGTCTTTGTATTTTAGGGAGCCATTAGAGACACATGAGAAAATATCAGCACAAAAATACGTTCCGATATACAATCATGCCATTTCAAACACCACTGGATTATTATTACTGATTAGGGGGAAAAATCCAACAGCTGTCTGGGGAATTCCCTTGATGTCTGGGTTATTGATTTAATAGCTACACATTGCCTAGATCCTACCACTCCACTAATGTTTGAAAATGCTGTACATGAGTTTACATTATTTTTTTCCTATTATTGCACAAAAATTATGTATTTTAGTCTGATTTTTAGGTGAATTCAAGATTAGCTGTTACTTCCACTCCACACAATAGGAATATGAAATAGCAGTTGTATCTTTTAAAGTAAAAACTAAGGTGAGTATTTAGAGCTAAAAGAAATCCAAGTTTTCAGAAAGCTGCTAAGTATTAAATTTCACCTACAATTAATTCCAAAATTCTGCTCTTCCCTCTCTCCCCTCCAGGAAATTTGAACTAAAAAAATGAAGCAGAAATTTAAGGTAGGGAAACTATTCAAGTGTGAAGGGGCTGTAATTGTTACAGTTGCTTAGGTTACGGTGATATGCTTTGGATGCAAGTTTGACATCCTCTCTGGTACATTTAGAATAAATAAGTAAACAAACAAACAACTGCCTGCTAGCTTTAAATTCTTTGCCTTCATCTGTGAGTGCTGCAGTCAGCCTGTCTCTGGTTTACTTCCTTATGACTGGGTTCAGCCTGCACAGGCTGTGGTTTTTGTTCCGCGTGAGGCTCCCTGTGCATGCCCTGCTCGTGAAGCACACTGATAAGAGGCATGGTGTGAACGGCAGCTTATGTCACGTGGACCATGAGATATGGCAGCGCTGTGTGGCACACTGCTGCAACGGAAGCAGCCCTGCTGGTAACACAGATCCCCTTCAAGTGTGGATTGGATTGCTTTGGATTCTCGTGCCTAAAAACATGGGTGTTGACTGAGAAAAGTACCAGTGTTCAGACCCAAGAATGTAAATGTGGTGCGCTAAACAGTCTCTCCATGACCGCTTAACCCGGAGCAGGGTAATCTAAGTAGTACAGACTGTCCTGGTCAAATAAACAAGTGTACAAGGAAGAATGACACACTTTGTGTTATATTGCCTCAGTGAAGCATCCCTCTTTTCTAGGATGGAGGGTACAGCAGGCAGCAGCAAGTCCTGTAAAAGACCTCTCCTTCTAGAGGTGGAATCAACAGAGGTAATATTTTACTACAGGCCTCTCTCATATATATAAGTTTAATTGAATTTAGCTCTACCACATACCAAAGGCAATATATAACCCTTAGCATGATTTTCGGTCTAAAAATGGTAAGCATTTTTGCATATGTATGATGCTATTTATTTGCTTAGCATGGACTTTATTAAAAAAAAAAGAAAGAAAAGAACAGAAACTTGAGCAAGGGTATCAGCTGTTGTCTGTTTGGCCTGATACACTTGCAATGATTTTTATGGAAGAAAATGTTGTCCTAAACCCCTGTCGTTCCTCTGTTTCTGACAAGTAATGTGATATACAGTGAAATCCTGTCCCTTCCTACAATGTTGGCTGTTGATAGTACTCTAGGTCTCTACTAAATGTCACAACTTTTATGAGAAGCATGAAAAATTCTGTATAATGAATCTTTAAGCCAATAAGAAGATATTATGAACAAAAAATGTGTTTAAAAGTGTAAAGATAATAGCTTAATATAAAAATCTCGTGCTTTTATATTTTTACTGGGGAAGAAAGGGAGATCACAAAATTTGTGCCTGCAGAAGGAAGAGGGCCATAGGTAACAATTAAATAATGCATGTTCTTTGGTCTAATCAAAGGTAAACACTGTATATTGATCCTCAGCAGTCTGCTGCAAAAAACTATTCTAACATCATACCAGCCACGCACACCTTTGTCCTGAACCACTCGTACCAGCTATACGGATTGAGCTCTTTTGTTCTGTGATCTGCCTCCTCCTTTACTGGAAGAGCAACAATGGCAATGCAGTGAACCACTTAATTTGGAATCTAACATTTCTGTTAGAGCCATTTAATTCTGGGATCTTATAATCCTCAAACAACAAAGAAAAATTGAAACACTTGGAAAATACAGAATGATGATGTACTACTCTAATCACGGAGGTCCCAAGCAATACTTCCAAGTACAGCTCATCGTGATCACAAACATCGATCTGTTTGAAATCTGCATCTAATCTGATGTACGCTTTGTTTCAAAATGACAAAAACATTTTAATTTTACAGTCATGATGTTTGAGTCAACTTTTAAAAAATGATTAAATGGAAAATGGGAATCTGCAAATAAATAATGTTGGATAAATCTTATACCATACCAATGCTATGCTTTCAAATGCTTTTTTTTTTTCCTTTCAGTTAAACACTGAGATAAATTTTCCTAGCTCCTTATGGATCTCACTATTGGTTGTTATCTCTAATATAAGCCTATTCTCTACCCAGTTACCAACTATGTATTAGAGAATTAACCACAACTGTTAAGGTCACATCAGGTCAACTTTAAAGTGATAAAACCTTAATGGAGAAAGGGATCAAGAATGTAACAAAATCTCTTATTTCTGTTTTCTACATCTCTGGAGAAATATTTTAAAGTCCACTAAGAAATGCTTATCTAAACACACTAATCTTTTAATATTATTTCAAATATAGGTAACTGAATTCTAAATCCAGTTCATAAAATATTTCAATAAAATAAATCATATTAAATAAATCACGTAGTGGTTCTTAGAAAAATTGCGCAAACCTGCAATCCTAATATATATGTATATTACTCCCAGGGGGCTCTAAACAGAAAGAACCTTCCATTGCTGTGTTTGTTAACATATTTAATCATTTATGATATAATAAATTACCCCTCTTTTGTTTATTAAGACTTCGCTAAAAGCTGGCTAGAAAACAAGTGGCTCTAATCTCTCTAATCTCAACCAGTGATTTTGTTGCCTCAGTATCTAACTAGCGGAGATCCTCTAGCTAACACTTTTGGCATTTTTAAGGTGTTATGATCTTATAGCTATATTGGATGAGAACTTTAAAAACAGTAAGAATATTACTAGGATGATATTTTAGTTCTGCAAAAAGAAATAGTACTTTTCTTTTGAAAAAAATATTTGTTGCTCTTAGGAAAGAGCATGTTTCTCCTTGTAGCTTTCACCCTGCCAACCTTGTTCCCCTTCTCTAGCTCCTCTGTTTCTCTTAAAATCACCCAGAACCTCACTAAACCTCACTAGAGAGGTTTCTAAAACCTCACCTTGGTTATGATGCTTTAATCCCTCATGGAATCTACAACTTATTTCTTAACAAAATCTGTCTTCCCCCCTGTGGAGGTTTGGTTTCTACTATTGACCTCGCCCTTTCTTTTTTTTTCTGATCAAAAGCATAACTGATGGAGTTAAATTCTGCATATCTTTTTCTGAAAGACCACCATTAACCTCTTGCTATTCTTATTAGTTAAAAAAAAATATATATATATATTGTAATGGACTGACTTCCTGGCTGACAATTTTTTCAAAATCTCCATAACTTTTTTCATAGGCTTGCTCTTTCCCTCTTTGTGTCAAAACCTTTGTATCAACATTACTGTTAAGCACTTTCATTTTCTGTATCGGTATTTCTATTTTTTGCCTTCCACTAATCACATTTGTCCTTTCTTTCATTTCACCTCCATTTATCCCATTACACTGCATGTCTCAGTGCTCAAAGTTAATCTCCTCCAAGCATTTCTTCTGTTTTGCAACCAATACTTCTGCAGAAATCCTTCAACTACGCACAGACCTTCTACTTCCAGTCAGCTAAGCCCTTCTGATTTCCCCTGTGCAATTCTCTTCATTAAAATCATATACAGTCCATGTAACTCAGGGTATAGAGCTGTATTATTCTTGCTGTATAGATACACAGCTACCTATATGGGTGCAGGACGGTGGGGCCGTTATCGCATGGAGGGGCAACATCGGTTAGAAACTTGGGAAAGGAAACCAGAGTAAATGAGCAGGTGAGTGGGAGAGTGATGGATGAGAGAGGGAACGGGCTTGTGGGTGACCGGGAAGGAGAAACGCAGCAAAATCAAACAGTGCAGGGGTGAGGGACAAAAATAATGGAGAGATTCAAATGCATGGCAGAGGACAAGGCTAAAAACAATCACAGAAAACTGGGAACAGAAAATGCAGAGAGACGGCAGCACAAAAGAGCAGTAAATGGGGTGGAACAGGTGCCGTAATGCTGCAAACGCAGAAGTTTAATACACTGAAATGAAGGAATGGTGGCAGGACAATATGTAGCAAGGCCAAAAAGCTCGAACAGAAGGGTTGTAATAAATATTACATTATTACATACATGGCATTATGCTTACACCTCAGATCCTATCGCTTCCCCCGAACCCATGGCAGCCCAGCACCATGCCAGGAGCCCGCTGATCCCTGGCCTCTGGTCAGGGGTCCGGTCCCCGTGCCCTCAGACTGCAATCGCTGTCACAGGGGTCCTGATATGGTGTCACCCTGGCACCAAACTGTGCTAGGGAAAGGGGGACGAAGCGTTTCAGTATCCCACCGCCTGGCAGCAAGGGCTGAAACGTGTCTGCCCGTCCCTGCCCTCCACACCCAGCAGCTCCAGGAGGCTTAGCCAGGGCTACAGTCCGCGGTGGGGAGGAAAGCAAGCCGCGAGAGCGGCCGTCCCTCGGCCCCACGGCGGAGCAGGGGACGCAGGCAGAGCCGCCACCCCGCGGCGGC